TAACATACACACATGTATACATTATACAAACATATACATATATACACATGTATGTATACATATATATACACATATACACATATGAAACATGCATACATATATATACACATCCATACATATATATACACATCCATACATATACATACACATGCATACATATATATACACATGCATACATATATATATATATCATGCATGCATATATATATACCTATGCATACATATATATACCCATGTATACATATATATACCCATGTATACATATATATACACCCATGTATACATATATATACCCATGTATACATATTAAACACATGATACATATATATACACATGCATACATATATATACACATGCATACATATATATACACATGCATACATATATATACACATGCATACATATATATACACATGCATACATATATATACACATGCATGCATATATATACACATGCATAAATAATATATATGCATGTATACATATGTATACATATATACACATGTGCAAAATATATATACATACACATACATATATACACTGTATATACATACATATACACATACATATATACACATGTGTATATACATACACATACACATACATATATACACATGTGTATATACATACACATACACATACATATATACACATGTGTATATACATACACATACACATACATATATATATATGTATATATATACATATATTCTGTGTTATATATATATATTATATATATATAATATATATTATATATATATACATGTACAGTATATACACTTATATACATATATATACTAGTATTTATTAAACATACTACATACATACACAAACATATTATATATACACATAAATTATATACATATATACATACATATACATATATATAGATATACACATGCATACATATATATACACATGCATACATATATATACACAAGTATACATATAGATATACACAAGTATACATATATATACAAATGTATACATATGTATACATATATACACATGTGTATATATATACACATACACATACATATATACACATACACATACATATATACACATACACATACATATATACACATACACATACATATATACACATACACATACATATATACACATACACATAACATATATCCACATACACATACATATATCCACATACACATACATATATACACATACACATACATATATACACATACCACATACATATATACACATGTATATATATATATATAATATCACAGACACATACATATATACACATGTATATATTATATATATATACACATCCACATACATATATACACATGTGTATATATACACATCCACATACATATATACACATGTGTATATATACACATACACATACATATATACACATATGTATATATACACATACACATACATATATACACATGTGTATATATACACATACACATACATATATACACATGTGTATATATACATATATACACATACACATACATATATACACATACACAAACATATATACACATACACATACATATATACACATACATATATACACATACATATATACACATGTGTATATATATACACATACACATACATATATACATGTGTATATATACATATATACACATACACATACATATATACACATGTGTATATATACACATACATACATATATAAACATGTGATATATATACACATACACATACATATATACACATGTGTATATATATACACATACACATACATATATACACATGTGTATATATATACACATACACATACATATATACACATGTGTATATATATACACATACACATACATATATACACATGTGTATATA